TTGAATTTCTGTTTCTGGTCAATTTCTCTGTCTCTCAAAAACTTGTTCGGTGCTATTTGTATTCACAGAGTTTGGAAAAAACAGAATGGTCATAACCCCTGGCAGGTTGTGGTATGGAGCTTTCCCACCACAAAAGAAATAATTGCAACTTGATGAAAGCTCTTGCTACTGATATTTCCTGAAGGGAGTCTTGTCTTCAATGAAAGGGAGGACTGTTGCATTTTGAACAACTCATTTGTAGTTGAAGGACAACTTCACAAGGCAAACCCCTTTGGCCTTTCTAAAAAGAGGATTTAAAGTCTTCTTTTCCTGATTTTGAATGAAACATTTTGGACTTTTGAATCCAGCACCTTACAGCTAAGCCACCACATCTGTTTTGTGATGGCTTATCATAGATATGTTACAGTATACTAATTTAATTTAGTGCTATATCTACAGCAGAATGAGACAACTCACCATGATCAACTCACCATGGCCAACTTGCCATGGGACAACTCACTCTGGGACAATTCAATAATTCAGTTTAATTATTTTAAATTATTTTAAAAATATTTTAATTTTTGTCATTCACATTTCATTTTGTCCCTTCTTTGGCTTCCTTTAAAGATTCCATTCCAGGATTCCTTTGATATTAGTATAACTCTTGTCCTGCGGCAAGTTGTCCCATGGCATGTTGACCATGGTAAATTGTTCCACGGCAAGTTGGCCGTGGTCAGTTGGCTGTTGCAAGTTGCCTTAGGATTTATCTACATGTAATCTTTGATTTATGACCACAATTGGGACCAGAATTTCATTTGCTAAGCAAGGCAGTTGTTAAATGAGTTGCACCCAATATTATGACCTTTTTGCCACAGTGGTTAAGTGAATCACTGAAGATGTTAAGTGAAACACATGATTGTTAAGCAAATTTGGCTTGTCTCATTGACTTTGCTTGTTGGAAGCCATATGTATATTCAGATGCATGTGTGTGTGTGTGTGTGTGTGTGTGTGTGTGTGTGTGTGTATGTATATGTATATGTATATGCATCTGAATTTTGATAATGTGACTATTGGGATGCTGCAACTGTCATAACTGTGAAGACCAGTTGTAAGTCCTTTTTTTTAGTGTTGTTGTAACTTCAAGCAGTATTAAATGAATGATTCTAAGTTAGGACTATCTGTATTATCCAGCTGCTTATTAACTCTGATTAAAATAAATATGGCATAAATATTAACAGAAATCAAATCCAAGTCCTGTTTCAGTGGAGCAGAAACCACAAACAGCTACCCATAAACAACCTTAAGATTTAATATGAGACAGAATGGACATCCCAAAATACAGATTTACATAGATTATTCAGTCTTTGTTTCTAAAACATAGCTGTGCTTGTGAGACCATCCAAAACATATTTTTGTCTATTTTCAGATTGTCCTTTTAGGCAGATAGATTCAAAACATATTTTCTTCTATTATCAGATTGTCCTTGCAGGCAGATAGATCTTTGCAGACCTGATCTGAAAGCTTTTAGAAGGGTCTGTTTGACCCATTCTGCCCTATGTATATGAGGTTTGATATGGCTGGTCTCAATATGACAATTTCTCCTCGTTCTCTGCCCAGAGTTGAATGGTAGGGCACAATCTAAATCTCTGCCTGAACCTTTCAAGTAAAGACCAGTTGCTGGCTCATTAAACCTTGCACAGTTCTGAGGTCATGACTACTGCTACCTAATTCACACAGGAAAATACTCCCTGTGTTGTCACTGGGATCCAGTCAAGTTACTCAGCTGCCATGTTATCTATTTCCTCTTGGCATGTTTCCTGGAAACAATGATTTCAGTACCCAGAAGTACTTGAGTATTTATGCTGTCTGGCAGGAAAGGCTTGGGGATAATCCCCGGCTTCCTGCTTAGAAGGATGCTTTGTACTTTCAAGATGAAACAGGTGGTAGAAAGCCAGGTTGCTTTGAGATGGGAATGCAAGAATCCCATAGATTGTCACTTCAGAATCTCTAATCTAAAAGATCAGAAGACCAATCAAGCTATTAGTATATCTAATCTAAAAGATCAGAAGAGCAAGGAAGCTATTAAAAGAGGTTGTCCAATCCTTTATATTAGAGTTTTCCAAGGAAAGGCAAAGTAGTTGCCAACTGAGCTTTAATTATGAAGACTTTATGCACTAAAGAAAATGTATTGGCTGTGTTATTCTCCTAAATTCCTAATGATTCCACTGGATTGTTAACTAAAGCATATTCTATCAACATCATACTTAGGATTTTTTCCCCAAGTGCAGCTGAGCACAGTGTTGTGTATTCAATTTCATGGCAGGCAGGTGAGTTCTCCTGGGGTGCAGCTGGAACAAGCACTAAGTATGTATTACAGGAATGTAACCTGAGTGTGCAGCTACCTGGCAGAGTCTCACTAACAGGTTGTTCTTGGCATGCAAACATGGTAGCAGATGTGAAACAGAGGGGGAATTGCTGGGATTTACAGCAAAATTATAGGTACCTTTTTCAATAAAATGTTTAGAAACTCTTAACATCCTTCAAGAGGGAGGCTTAACTGCTAATTTTAGCATCTCTCAAAAATCTCAAATTTCAGACCAAAGAAGGAGTGGTATAATGTTACAGCAAGCAAACTGATCTGAGAAGAGGCTTGGTTTCAAGTCTGCCTAATGCTGCATAGTGCGATCTTTAGGCAGACCAGGATCAGGAAGAGCAGCTTATCACATAAAGTTATATTCCAAATATCACAATATTAGGGCAGCTTGTGTTCCAAGACAGTCTGCTGGCACTGCTGGGAAAATTACAGGTGAGGAATGCAAGCAGTTAGCCCTTCTTTTCTTGCTTACCTCTTCTAGCTGATATTCAGAGTATGCTATTGATGCTTCCAGACAGACAGCTTTTAGTGCTACCAATTAAAAGACTTCCTGCAGCTATTTTGTTTTCCCCTCCTTGTTGTTTTTTATTAGAAAAAAGATGCAAGAAAACCCAATGGGAAAATGGCCATGTGTGTGTTACAAAAGGGACATAATAATACAGTATTCTGGACTCCTTTGTCATGTTTTATGAATGAAAGAGGACAATAGGATAAGAAAAGCTTTATCTAGAAGTATCCAGGCTCTGGACTTTAAAGTTCCATCATCAATACTTCTGTGATTGCAAAGGATCAACTATGCCAAAGATCCTAGGAAGTGTGTGTATGTTTAGGGGGGGAGGGAGGGGAGGGAAACAAGAATGAGATGGTACCGCTGCAGCAGCGATCAGATTTTTCTGTTTTCATTTGGCACATTGTTCTCTTGAGAAAAGGTATCAGGGATAAAAGGAAGGGTATTAAGCAAGAGGGGTCAATATGGCTATCCCATGTAATGAGTCCAGTATTGGGGAACATAGTGAGTGTAGGTCAAGTGAGCATCACTGTTGGTTAAAAGCAAGTTAGTTAAACTATCCATAGGAAGCCAGATTATTGTAACTGGCAAAGAAACAGGGTGAAAGTAAAGGAGAAATTGCAACCCCTTTGTGAATGGTAAGAAGAAAATGAGAGGAGCCTTTCACAGAAGTTTCAGTGCCCAACCCTGGATAATTAATGACCCTGATATGTGCTTACCTCTAGGATGTGTGATACCATTGAAATAAGGCAGGTGCCTCAGACAATAACACCCTTGATTTGGTACAAGGTTGTTGGATGGCTATGGAGAAGCCAACTGCCCTATTAACTAGTACCACAGAAATTGAAGAAAGAGAGGGACAGGGGTTTACACAAGAAAAAGGTATTTATCTGAATTCCTTCTTGGCATCTTTCATTCTGTTCACAAAAGTGTCTTTCAATTTCCTGACCTCAGTAGGGACTTGTTCACACTCTCCAACAACAGTAGTTTATTGCAGCAATAACTTCACTTCTATCGTGTCTGCTTTGCAAGTTCAGGAGAAATTAAGTACACAAATGGGGAGTTTAATCACTGAAGTTATTGCTGAAGTAAATTAAGCTGTTGTTCTGGATTCAAAGGTCTCATTCCTTGCATTTACGAATGGAGAACACATTCACACATTGCACAAATTGAAGAAATAATGTAAGGTATTTTGATTGTTTACTGCTTTCCTTTTTTCTGAGAGAGAGAGAGAGAGAGAAAATCTCTCCCTCCCATCATAAAATATGATAAAACATACATTTGGCTAAGATGTGTGCAGCAGTATACACAAGGAAATGGAATGTTCCATTTCAATTTGTTTTTAAATTGCAAAAATCAAATGCTTTTTAAAAAGCCAATCATTTTAAACAAATACATAAGTAAATTTATATATATCCATATATATATATATATATATATATATATATATATATATATATATATATCCAAATATATACTGTATTTAACAACAATTTCCAAATATGTATTTGGAAACAATATATATTGTTACATATTTGGACACAATATACTGTTTGCCTAACCAAACAAGTTCCAAATATATATTTAACAACAAATTCCATATATCTATATATATGGAAACAATGTAGGTTATTAATATATTTGGACACAATATAGTGTTTGCCAAACCAAACAGGTTCCAAATATACTATATATTTAAGAATAATTGCCTCTGCATCATTTTTCCTGGATGGAAATTTTGTAATTTTCTATGAAATCAGCCACATATGAGAGAACCGCGTGATTAAAAGGGACAGAAGAGTGTGATGTGTTCCATAGTAAGGAGAGAAGAAAAAGAGATAATTTAGGCACACTTTTCATATCCCAAATGATATTAGCCAGTTAAATGATTTTACCCTAATGTAATGGCTCCAGGAATCAAATGAAAAAGTGAAGCAGGAACATGGTGAGTCAGTTGAAACTTCTTTCTTTGAAAGGCATTTTTCCAACTGATAGAGATGGAGCTACCTTCCGAGAAAGATGTGCTTAGGATGGTGGTTTTAGAAGAGAACGTAGAGAATATCAAGCCCATGCCATTGTTAGAAACACCCATAAAAATAATACAAAAGTAAACAGTATCAAGGAAAGCAAGGACTAAAGAGGGTTTTCAAACTAGGCTTTCTTGAAACCCCTGCAAGAATACGTCTAACTCTTCTTCATCATCTTTTTAAGGGCTTACTAGCCAAAACTGCCAGACACGAGCAAAAGGCTTTATTGCCGTTCCTGTCATGCTGCTTTCAGTCACTTTCTTTTTCCCAGTCTACAGGTTCCTTCATAGTTTCTTGATGCAGTCAGCAGGAAAGGGAAAATGTTCAGTGTTTGAGTAGGACATTTGCATCGGCACTGCCTTGTGGCCTCTTCTTAGATAAACTATTCCAAAGATTGATGTGCCATAACTTATTTCCAAAGTTCACAGAGCCTGCAATCATCTGAGGAAGGTTGTTGGCTGTCTCATGGAATTTAATGGCTGGCATGAAAGTAAGGCCTTTGATTGTTGCAGTTTCTTTTCCTCTCCAGGGTTACAGGAGTAGCCCTACCCACTCCTAAGGCTAGCTGCAGAGTTTTCCAGTCTCATATTCCACTGGGTTTGGCAGCTTGGCATTGAAGGCCTGCAGGGTAGACTGGATCCGACTCACTTCATTGTTGGCCAGTTTGAGCCTATGCCGAAGCAAGCAAGAGAAAAGATCAATGCGGCTTTTCCCGGGTGGAGAGAGACGGTTCACTCGGTCCCTGATCTCAATCAGTTGTAATATAGCAGAGTCCTGCGAGCCTTGTGTATAGGGGTAATCTAGCTGAAGGACAAGGTCCCGAATTGCATCAGATTCAAATGGCAGGCTGTAGCCAAAGACCTGTAAGCTATTGATTCTCATATACCCTAAGTTCTTAGAAGGATCCGTTTCCAAAGGCTCATAAAAGATGGTTTCATTAGAGCTGTCGTTAAGAGATTTGATGCGGCTACGCAAATAGACATGGACTGTTTCAAAAAAGGTCTTCCACTTGCTGCCTAAAGTGAGAGTCCAGTTTTGGCATTGGCCAGAGGCATCTACATTAGTCCTTTCCCAGTCAGGGAAGCCAGTCTCATTGGTAGGCATAAACCAGCTCTCGGAATGGCTACCCCCAAAGGGGTTGACGTAGATGGCCATGACTGGTTCCAAGGTGCTATTCTTGGTGAGGCAGATCTGGAGGGAGAGGGCCAGCATGAGGTGGACCAAATTTGGCTTGTACTTGTTGCTTTTCAGTGTCACCAGCATCCTCTTTCTCCAGGAAGGGTCAAACCAAGTCCCCAGGCGCATATCATTGCTAATGAAGATTGACTGTACTTCAATGCGGCTGTCCCGCTTTTGCAGAAGGTATTTGAGCTCCAAATCCTGCAGGTCTGTTTCTAGCCCTAGGTAATGCTCAAGAGACTCTGCCACCTCTGGGCGGCACAACCCTAAAGTGAGGATATAGCCAGGATTGCAGGATCCACACTGGGTGATGTTATCTTCTGCACAGGCAGCACATTCTGGCCCTTCTCCTGCAGCACAAGGGATGGTGACCTGACAAGAGGGCTGATCATTAGGGCAGATGCAGCTGCGGCTTTCTTCAACAAATGTCCCTAGCACAGAGGCCTCACTGCAGTAAAGGAGAGACTGAACGTGGCTCCACCAGTAGGTCAAAGGCCTAGAGGAATAAGGTAAACAGAGAGAAATGTGAGCTCTGGAATTATACTTCAGAAGCACACCATTTGATCTAGCCAGATTTTATTCTTCACCAACTCATCCCCAAAGAAAAAGGAAATGTTTTTTTCCCCCCTAAAGGAAAATCTTATATTGCAATATCCTTCATGGAATTGTAATTATTCATTCAAGTTGAAATAAAAATAAATGAGCAATATCTGAAATCTCTCTAAATGCTCACTGTTTTTTAAGTTTATAACATTCTAATTATTTTACATTGTTATTTTATGACGCCCAGAGTCATTTGATAGTGAGATGGGTGGCATATAGATTTAATAAAGAAATGGGGGAAATTCCACACCATAAGCCATATGTCCATAAGCTAAATATTCATTCAGTAATAATAATAATAAGCTAAATAATAATAATATAATAAAATAAAATAATATATTATTATTATTATATAATATAATATAATAATATAATAAATATAATATAATATAATAATAAATATAATAATATAATAATATAATATAATAATATAATAAATAATAAGCTAAATATTCATTCATTCAATAAATATTCATTCATTCAATCCATAAGCTAAATAGAAACATTTTCCTTTGCGTTACAAGGGCTGAATCCAACAAACTTGAGGTGAGAATTCAAAGCCAAAGGAACTGAGAGACTTCAGATAATTTGGGATGCAGTAGAAGATTCAGACCGCTCCCCAAGAAGGAAGACTAAGAGTCTCAGAAAACTTCTCCCCCATGCTCTGGCAACTGAGACTATATGGGAGAAAGGGAAGAGGAGCGTTGCATGGTCACTTTTATGCAAATACATAAAGGTCCATTATCACTTCCTCAGTTGCCTAAAATATACCTTCCCTACCAGGAGTGAAATCCAGCAGGTTCTAACAGGTTCTGGAGAACCGGTAGTGGAAATTTTGAGTAGTTCAGAGAACTGGCAAATACCACCTCTAGCTGGCCCTAGAGTGGGATGGGAATGGAGATTTTGCAATATCCTTCCCCCAGAAGGGGAGGGAATGGAGATTTTGCAGTATCCTTCCCCTGCCATGCCCACCAAACCATGACCACAGAACCGGTAGGAAAAAATTTGGATTTCACCCCTGTTCCCTACTCCTGTTCAACCATCATATTAGGGGAGGGGGACGTATTTTCCCTGCCCATTCAGATTATAGTGGAGCATGTACAGCAGACTGTACAGCACTTCTGCCTTCTCAATTGGGAAGCCACCAAGGTCTCTGAGGTCACTACTACCAGTCTGTTGTTGCTAAGGTGACAAGAGCCTTTGGACCAGCAGTGACAGCAGCAGGTCTTTGTTCTGTTTCTGCATCGCTCCTCTGCTATGGCTCCAGACTTGGGCTCCCACATCTGACATGCAAAAAACTGGAGGACCACTAGAGGTGGGAGCACAGGGATTCAGAAAACTGTAATGCTTTGCTGCCATCTAGTGGCAGATCAGTTTTGCAGCCCAGATATGATAGCTCTACCCAACATGACCACATTTACTGTAGGTGTCGGGTAAGGAATGGGAGATAAGGGAGTGCCTAATAGACTCCTTATGCCTGCCTTTACTATATTTATACCACAGCAGTCAACTAAAACTATTTTTCATTTTACATATTTGGCTGTTTGCTATATTTCTCAATTTGCAATTTTCATTTTCTTAAGGTTACTAATACACTGATTAACATGCACTTTAAGTTTCAATAAAAAAAAAACCTTATATGATCACATCATTGCATCAAGATTCATTTATGAGCTATGATTTAATTAAAAAGACAATGTGAACAGTGTAGCAGACTGTGAATCAATTCCAACATTTCAGTTCTCTAAGTTAAACCAAAAAACAAACAGAAGACAAGACAGACTGACTCCTCACAAAAATAATAGATTCATACCCTTAAGCATCTAAAGATTAGGCATGAGAAATAGAATACGGGGTTTTTTTAGCCATTTTTGGAATGAGGATAAAAAAGAGTTTTTGACTTCCCAAGTACAAAAGAAGCATTCTCCAAAATCTCTCCATCGCCCTGAAATCCTTTTCTGCCCCTATCACTCATGAATTTATGGAGGAATGGAGGACATGTGAAGACTCACTGAGCTACTCCAAATATTGATGATCTTTCAATATCTATTAAGAAGTGGAGAATAAGGATGGAAATACCACTGCCATAAATTTTAGTGGGAGCAAAATGGTATAGTCTCCAAGCAGATTCATCATTGTGGTGATGAACAGGCCAGGAAAACATGGTGTATGTTAACAGTCATCTTTTTCCATGTGCACAAACACACGAATGCATCTCTCCCCTCCAACAAAAGCACTTTTAAGAAAGATGCATCCTAGACTAAAATATATATATTTGCAACAGCTGCTTGCAATAAAAAAAAAAACCTATTAAGTATAATTGTATTTTGAAAAGTCTATTCTATAAGCTGATGACAAAATTCCATATGTATATTAGGAAAAATTGCAAGCAACAAGAAACATGGGTTTTCCAGCTTTAAAGATAATTTCAGTAAATAATGTATTTGCATGATACAGTATATAAAAGCCTGCAATATAGTCTGGAAACTCAATCAGTGATTAAGTCATCAGGCTAGAAATCAGGAGACTGTGAGTTCTAGTCCAACCTTGGACTCAAAGCCAGCTGGGTGACCTTGGGCCAGTCTCTCTCTCTCTCTAGTCATAGGGAGGAAGCCATGGCAAATCGCTTCTGAAATCTTGCCAAGAAAACTGCAGGGATTTGCCTAGGCGGTTGCCAGAAGTCAAAAACTGATTCAAAGGCCTAGATACCAAAAAAAAAAAAAGTGTTTTTGTGTGTGTGTGTGTGTGTATTGCACATCATTAGTCAGACTGATGAAGGATGTGTATGAGTGTGTCATTACTGCAGCAGGAGATAGAAGAACTGTGCCCTCAGTCTTGATTGTCTTAGTACTTTCTACATCAATCATTACTAGGGAATATTCTCCCCGACTCTTTACCCGCTCACCCCCACCTCTATTTAATGAAAGCTGAAGAGCCAGTCAACAATTATATGTCAAATAAATTGGTAGAGATGACGGGTTTCAATACTTTTTTTTTTTTAAATAAAGCATTAAAAATAACAGTCACATAAAATTAGTGGGGATTCTTATGGTAGGATTAGCTGGAAGACGACATCCTACCAGCATGTGTCGACCTTGGTTCCAAATCTATTCTGATCTCTACAGAATTGTTAGAGAAAGTAGCTTCAGTATTGAACAGACCTGCTATTCTGGCTATGTAAATTAAAATACAAACATACAACCCCATTTTTGGAAATCGCTGAATAAAAGTTAGTAAAAATAAATCATGCATTTATTTGCCCATCTACTTACTGTAAATGTTTAATCATATTTCAGCTCCAATTCTTTAATTCCTCTCCTGTTATTCATCCTGTTTGTATCCTAATGCATATAGTGGCAGGTCTGTTTTAGCTAGCCTGGCCCCAATATTTTAGTTTCTAAGGTTGGGAATTGTTCATTCCTGTGCTCCTTGCTTGGGCCAAAACCCAGGGAGTTCTCAATTATCATAAATCCTGTTTTCTTTTTCTCGTGGACGTGGTCTGCAACTACAGTAGAGGAGAATGAACTACCTAAAATGTCTTGTTCAAACATTTCAAGTAACTTTTAAATGACTAAAGAGCAAACATAAATCTGTGTGTGTTTTTTCTTTTTTCAGATGAAGCGCTGGAATTTTGTCTATTTGAATATTATGCTTTCTGTGGCTTCTTGTGTGCAAAGATTTGAAAACCTTCTGAAAGTCTGCAGACTGGGCAATTCATGCTTTCAGGTAATCCTTAATTTATGAGTCCAAAATATCCTTTGCTAAGCAAGACAGTTCTTAACTGAGGTTTGCCCCATTTTATGACCTTATTTACCACAGTTGTTAAGTGAATCACTGCAATTGTTAACTTAGTAGCATGGCTGTTAAGTGGATTCCCCATTGACTTTGTTTGTCAGAAGGTTGCAAAAGGTGGTCACATGACCCTGGGACATTGCAACTGTCATAAAAACATGCCAGTTGACAAGCATCCAAATTTTGATCATGTGACCACAGGGATGCTGCAATGGTCATAAGTGTGAAAAGCTGTCATAAGCCACTTTTTTTCAATGTTGTTGTAACTTCCAACAGTTACTAAACGAATGATTGTAAGTCAAGGATTGTATTGAGATGAATACAAGGCTACCCTGATTCTTCTCTGTAATTATGGGGTATTTTGTTTAACTTCACTTGAAGAAGTTGCATTCTCTCCTGAGCAACTTTAAAAGTTTGGGCAGAGGAACAGCATTTAGCATTTAGAAAGAGAAACATCCCAGAACTTTGCTACTTTGGTGGTTGTATTCATTTGGGTAGGTTCATTGCCCAAAGCAACCATGCCATTTGGTGTTTGTAGTCCAATGCTATAGTGTACCAACTGAGTTCAAGGTTTTTCTATATTTTCATCATTACAACTCATAGATGGCCAACCTTGTGATTATCTAAAGTTGTAGGTCCACTAGCATGTCTTTTACACCCATTAATTGTCTTTCATGCATAAAACATGGCACACCAATTTATACTTTAATTTTTATGCCACTTTGATGATAACATTAATATTGGGTCTATGGTGAATTTTTATATTTCAGATTTGGTCTCTAAATGAAATTGTTAGTATTTGCCTTTCCATCATTTCCTGTGTTACTCAAAGCTTCTGTGCTTTCAATTTTTTGAACAGCTTAACAGCTGTGGCTCATTTCTCATAGTACTATGGTACTCTGCTCCTGCTTCGGCATTTTTCATTTCTTGGAGGACTGGTTTTATGGAGTGAAAGCTAAGTAAAAAGGGGAAAAAAAGACAACTAAAGGAAACCTCCCAATTCCCATGCCCAGAAAAACAGCCAGCTCTTAAAAGCTTTCCAAAATGCCAGTAGGATTGGAGCCAATCTGAGATGGTATTCTAAAAGGCAAAGTAGTGCCTGAAACTTGATTAAAATAGGTCCACTTTCTCCAGGGCTCTGTGTAGCTGCAATGCAACTTCCATCTCGACAATCTTCCTTAAAAGGGGAAGGTTGAAAACAGAATGAAAAGTATCCAAAATGGTTGGGTTCAATTATGGCTTCTTGAGGAAACAATAGACTACTACTTAAGCATCAGTGGACCAACCCATCTCTCACAGACCTATGCCTAGACCAAAACCACAAGTCCCTCTTTGAAGGACATGGGTGATTCTGAAATGTGAAAAATAAATTAGAATGGAATGGAATGGGATGGGATAGGATAGGATAGGATAGGATAGGATAGGATAGGATAGGATAGGATAGGATAGAAGGTAGGGGTAGGGGTAGGGGTAGGGGTAGGGGTAGGGGTAGGGGTAGGGATAGGGATAGGGATAGGAATAGAAAAGAGAAGAGAAGAGAAGAGAAGAGAAGAGAAGAGAAGAGAAGAGAAGAGAAGAGAAGAGAAGAGAAGAGAAGAAAGATGGCTGAAGTCTCAGATCTGAGATCCCTGCCCACTTCCTTGGATCTTCCTCTTGGATGATCACAATGTTATTGGCAAACCTGAAGAGTTTAGTTTCTTGCCACCAGTGTTGATACCTTCATCTCCCCAGTTAAGTGTTCTGAAAATTTATTCGGGGGCTAATGGCTAACTAACACTATCTGGGGAGATAGTGTTGTTATCTCACCAAAAATCTTCATAGTGCATTGTAGGACACCTCAGCATACATGGATGGTGAATGAGCAATAAAGGAAGGTGATGACACTGATCAAGCAGCCTTTATTTATTGATTTGATCTTGAAAAGGCTTTCAATTTATCTCCCTAATCACTTTCATCAATATTGAACATGCCATGTCTCAATATTGTTAGTAATGTCCCTTGCATTGTTTGTGTATGTTTTTTCAGATACCAAGAGGAATTTTAGAGTATCATTTATCATCTCAAATGTATTGTTATAGTCTTTGAGCTACAGGAAATGTTTTTCAGTTGACTGCATCACACAATCTAGTATGTGGTTAAATCTTTCTACTTGTGTTTAGGGATTTTAATGGAATTATCCCATGTCTCATAATGACCTTTTTTTTTTCAGTGATTGTTGTATACTTAAGTGAGTGTGAACTTCTATGCAGTCATCATCTGACTGATAAAATTATATGTAGGCATGACTATATTTTCACCAGTTGTCCCATCTTTCTCTTTCTTTCAGAGTTAGCATGTTGGAATCTCTTGCTCACATTTATTTCAACCATTAAGCCATAAAGAAATATGAAGTTAGATGTTTCTGCTGATTCCCACTGTTCCCTCACAAATAATTCCTATTAAAGATTATTCTCCTTAATTGAAACTGTGGCATCACCTGTCTCCCCAACCTGCTGTTTGATAAGCTTCATCAACTCAATTTTCCTATTGTATGGCACTCTATACTCTATACAGAGGAAGTTCCAAGATATTGTTTCAAAATTTCCTATAGAGAAGTTGATGCAGAAAACACATAGATACTTTCTATTATCTTTAAAAATTCAGCAACCTTGTTAAAAGCTGATGCAGCATCACTGACAAGCAAATTCAGTGAAGGAAAATTACAAGGGGTTAAAAAAAAGAAAAGAAAGTGTTTAATGCTGCTCCTGCTTTCTTATATGGGTATCTTAATCATAGTCCTGACTTCTTATGCCAGCTATCGTAATTCCTTTCTTCCAACTTTCTAAGAAGTACATTTACCATATTAGTAGTTCCTGTAGTACCAGATGTATCAATAAATTCTAGAAAATGTTCTATAACAGGCCTATAGCAGGGATCTGTTCACGAGCTTCTGTTGCTGTTACAAAATACATGATTCATTTCTCATGTTTCATATGACTGATGTCAAATGTGCAATTTAGAATCAGTAATAATACCTTACTGATTTTATATTTGCCAAAATCTTCTCTTTGATGTTTGTTGCCATAACTTTATGGCTTTATTTCATTATTATTTTTTTCAATGTGTAGGGCTGTGTAGAATTTGTGAGATGATGACTCTTCTTATATACACTTGGAATATAGCATAAATCCAGCTTTGAATTTAAAATTTTAAGAAAATGGCCACTATTTGGAGCATACAACTGATCTGAAATGTCACACAGTGCTAGCTTTGAGAAAGCAAGCATTTACACAATTGTAATGATTTTTTTCAGAGCATTTTTCAGAGCATGAGGTACTCTATAAAGCCTTAGTAAGACCATACCTAGAATACTGCATCCAGTTTTGGTCACCACACTATAAAAAAGATGTTGAGACTCTAGAAAGAGTGCAGAGAAGAGCAACAAAGATGATTAGGGGACTGGAGGCTAAAACATACGATGAATGATTGCAGGAACTGGGCATGGCTAGTCTAGTGAAGAAAAGGACCAGGAGAGACATGATAGCAGTGTTCCAATATTTGAGGGACTGCCACAGAGAGGAGGGGATCTAGCTATTGTCCAAAGAACCTGAAGGCCAGACAAGGAATAATGGATGGAAACTGATGAATGAATGAGTCAACCTGGAAATAAGGAGAAATTTTCTGACTGTGAGAACAATCAACCAATGGAAGAGCTTGCCTTCAGAAGTTGTGGGAGCTTCATCACTGGAAGCTTTCAAGAAGAAACTGGATTGCTATCTATTAGAAATGGTGTAGGGTCTCCTGCTTGGGTGGGGTGGTTGGACTAGATGACCTACAAAGTGCCTTCCAACTCTGTTAATCTATTAATCTGTTAATTTTGTCTCTGAACAGACTGATGAAATTTTCTCTTGATGCTGATAACCTATGGCGATCTTTAATCTTAATGGCTACTTAAACTGTTTCCATCTATGGAAAACTCTTTGATAATTTACTGACCTTTCATGGCACACCAAATTTGTAATCCATATTTTTCCAATCCTTTGTGGAAACAAAAGCTACAGCATCTACACTTTGCCACTGCAAGGAATTTCATATTAGGACAAACTGAAACATCTTATTTTTTGTTTTGTTTTGGAGGAGCATGAAATTTTTCATTCGTTCTAACTCATGAAATACATGGTGAGTTCTCAGATGAGCCTACAGTCCTGACTAATCTACTGTAGATTTAAGAAATTTAATTTAACAGTAGCTGTTTCTTGTGTCCTCACCAACTCTTCCCTGACCTTCTTCCATTTGAAAGCAGTTGTTAGGTCAACTGCACTTGAACTAACTAGAAGGGTCATAATCATTTCTGCCTCTGTATTTCAAGAATTCTGCAGAGTTAAAAATCTTCCTTTGTTTTTTGCCTCTTTTTGAACATTATATCAGATGTTTTTCTCCCTTTCATTCATGGTTGTTGTTTGTGACAACTATGGTGCCTCTCAACACTAAAAAAACATAAGCAGGGCTAAAACAGAATGGTGTTAGTGTCTTAAGGACAAGTGCCTTCTACCAATATTTCTTATTGTGTCTCGGAACAATTGACTGTTCATTCTCCTCAAGTGGATTCAAAAAAGCAACTTTGTGAAAAGCTTTTATTCATCAATCTATGATCCTGGGGGTACTAAAGAAATATATGAGAGGGGCTTCCTCCTTCCTCTCTCCCTAAGTTTATCCTTTTTGTTATTTCTTCTCACTTTTTCTTGTTATATTTCTTGTGCTTTACTTTCTTTAGCATCATACTTTCTTGTGCCTCTGTGCATCTAGAGCAGAAGGAATAAATCTGCTCCAGCAACAATTTTCTACATTCTGAATCTAAGTAGCAACCCCCTCCACCTCAGTCTGCCCCCTAGTAAAACACTCCTGTACTATGTTTTAGCATGTATATGATATAAAGAGCCAGGAGAAAGATAGCAGGTGTTTCTTTCATTTCATACTTTAATTGGTTCTTCCTATCATAATATATAGATCACTGGCTTCCCTAGAGCAAATAAAAACAGTTGCCTACGTGCTGGTGCAATGTATAAGGAAATGTTTACTTTTTATGTTGGGCAGTTTCAGAAATACCTGCACAGACATGTAGGTAATACACTTGATATTCCACTACTAGAGACTGAAGGTAAGAAATTGGTGACTATAATTCCATTGCTTTTCCTTCTGAGCTAAGTGGCTAATATTCTGAAGCTTATTTGAAATTCCATGGTTGATTGCAGCATCATGGAAAAATTATATCCAGAAATATTTCCAAACCCAAGTCCACCTAGATTTCAAAATACTTCATGAATGGGTTTAGTATAGCATACCTCCAAATGAATCATTCACTGATGTTCACTTACAACTATCTTTTCCCTAAATTTTCTCCCTGACTAGAATTGTGTAGGTCTGGAAGATTAAATTTACAATGCAATTATCACATTTGTTCCATAATTTAACTAACCTCTCCTTTAGGAGTTTGAAGCGAGGTTGCCTGGGGCAGCGTTTAGCCAGATTGAAAAGGCGTCGGACAATCCGATGGCTTTTCTTAGATAGCATCTTCAAAGTCATGCCCAATTTTTGATAGCGATGCTGAATATCAACATCCGCTGCCCAATATTGGGAGATGGCAGTTATGTTCAAGAAGCGATCCACTGGCAGCTTCTTCACAAGAGACTGTAGTTCCTCTGGGGAAACAAAACAAAATGTCAGCTACAAGAAAACACTGGAAAACACCACAAAGTTGCTATAGTTTGTTTCAATAATTAGAGGGCCATGGAATTAATTGAGTCTTGGACCATGCTACTTATTATTTATTTATATTTCACCTTTATTATTTTTGCAAATAATTCAAGGTGATAAACATATCCAGTGCAACTTCCTCCTCCTATTTCCCCCCCCCCCACAACAACCCTGTGAGGGAAGTTGGGCTGAGAGAGATGATTGCTCCAAAGTCACCCAATCAGGCTTTCATGGCTAAGGAGTTCCTGCAGATTTTATTCTGCTAGGTCTTGCTGACTATAGGGAATGGGGCTCACCCCATTTCAAGGTCATTGAACCAGTGCTTTCTGAAGACATTTCCATGGTCATGTGGCCAGAATGATGTCATGGAATGCTGTTACCTTCCCACTGAAGTGGTACCTATTTATCTATTTGCATTTGCATGCTTTCGAACTGCTAGGTTGGCAGCAGCTGGGGAGAGAATGAGAACTCACCCTGTTGTATGGAGCTTGGGTCTTGAACCTGGGTTGCCGGCTTTCCAGATAACAAGCCCCATGTCTTAATCACTGAGCCATCATGCCACCATTTCATGGCTAAGACAGGCCTAGAATTCATGGGCTCCTGCTTTCTGGGCTTGTACCTTAGCCACTAGACCAGTGTTGGGATTCAACCAGTTCGCACCACTTCAGGAGAACCGGTTGTTAACTTTCTGAGCAGTTTGGCAAACTGGTTGTTGGAAGAAATCATTAGGGCAGAGAACCGGTTGTTAAATTACTTGAATCCCACCACTGCACTAGACCAAAGTGGCTTTCTACTTGAGGTTGCTAATGATGCAAGGTAAGGCCAATGGCTCCTCAGTTTTAAAAAGAAATAAGGATTTTGAATTGATCATAAACAATGAATCTTGGAAAACAGGGTAAATAAGTATTCAGATCCCCTGATAATATTATTCCATACTAGGATGAAATGTATTGATTTCTATTGAAATGATAGTTAATATTCTTCTTCTTAAATGATGTCCAATAACTTTGGGTAATTTACCTGGATTATTCTACCTTTTAAATACACTGGGAATGACTAATTAATTTGCATTTGTGCCTAACAGGATTTAGCTATTGTGTTTCTCTCTAATGGGTACATATCACTTATAGAAGAGGTAGGAGACCAAATAATGGAGAACAACACTGAGAAAAGAAGATTTATCCTCAACCCACTGAGCTAATAGTATCTTCCTTCTTTCATATTTTTGGGACAGAGGTGCTGAAATTTACTGGAGAGCTCACACAGTTCCAATCAACAGAAATTCCTTCAGACCATCCTATTTTATAGCTAACAAATTGTCAGAATTCTGATAGTACTTCACTGAAATCTATTCTCCAAATGAAGTGTACATCCTACAAATAAGAAAGTTCCAAGTCTCTCTTTTCAATTTTGTAATTTGAGAATGGGGCTATAAATTAAAATGGGTAGCCACCTTTAAGCCCATGCTCATTGTATGCACCTCTGTCAGGATCCGTCGTATTTAAAATTCTTACAACGACCAGCTGCAATTCAGACATTTGAGGTGTGTGTGTGTGTGTGTGTGTATTAATATGTATAGGATTACTTGGAACCGGTCTCCATCTTAAACTCACTGGTGTAACACAACCCAAGAAAAAGGATTAATAAGGATGCTGGGTGCAACTCCCATAACTTGCCATTTTACTCAACTACAGGTTGTTTGTTCTCTGGTTAGTAGCTTAGAAATCTTGGAGTCAATGATAGGAGAAGGATTCCAGCCCTTAATCTCTAACCTCCATTCCTCACTTGTTAAATAAGCACTGGTTTATCACAGATTTATTGAAGCGGACATACTATATTCGATTTAGAGAGGGAAGAATTCAATACATATATTTTTAAAACCTCCACCTTGACATTCTTTGAAAATTCATACAGTACTGGGAAATAAATTATAGGAAAAGCAATTTTAGTTGGATAAATGTTATTGAAGCTGAATTCAATACTTCTTGTCTTGTTTTAAGAGCTATGATGTTCGTATACGTACATTGTATAAACCCAGTAAGTATCCTGTATTTGATGTAATTGTATTGACCACCTTTCTTTTCATATAAACTCATATTTTAAACTCAATAAAAATATCTTTATTCTCTACTGAATACAAGCTAAACAACATTCAACTGAACAGAACACATACATATCCTTCCTTCCATCTCTCTTTCTATCCTCTACTTATCTTGAGTTTTAGACACTAAATTCTTCAGAGCAAAGTCTTCAGACTGTTATTCTGCAAAAATGTGCCATGCACATTAGTGGAACTATATAAAGATATATAAAGAGCCCCTCTGTGAGGGTTAAGAAGTTTGATAAATAAATATGATTATTTATGAGTAAATAAAAAGATTTTTAACTAAAATGTAAAATTCAAAATGTTCAGTTTAACAACTATCATGTATACATTACTTTTCTAAATGTTTAAGACATTAATGAAATCTTCTGTAAACCTTCATCTATTTCAAATGCTATTTGTATATAGATAATTAGATTTAAACTGTTTGTATTACTTCATTTAAAAAACAAACAAACCCCAAATCCATAGCTGCTTTGAGTACCCCATCCCCAGGGGTGGAAAGTAAGACACAAACTTAAATTATAAATTAATAAATATACCAGAGAATGTCAAATGATTTGTTGAAAGTTTGATAATAATCATATTTTTCAAATAAATTTGAGTTAGAGGGGGAAAAAAATCTAATGCATAGATAATTGTAGAGAATTCTTATGCAGAGAATATGAATTGCTCATCGATGGTAAAGCATTCTAAAAACTCAATCCATTGAATAATATTCTTCTAAGTGTATATAATGTTAACTCATATAGTTGGACTCTTCTGTTATCATCTGTTTTAATTCAACAAATGAGAGTGCTTGAGTATTGTAAATTTGAAAGCGAAGCATATTTTCATTCATGTTCCAAACACAGAATATCTAAAAAAATCTAGGCTTACCCATATATGTCAAAACTCAATTTCATTTTTCCCTCAACCATGTGGAACAGGAATCAGATTTCTATTTGTGAATGAATGGAAGTAATCACACCCTCAACTTGATGCTTTATGGGTAATTCTTAGTGCTCTTACAAATCTGATTCTGCTGCTGGTGCCATCAACTGTAACAATTCTCAGACAGTCCCTCTTCTCCTAAAGCTTATTATTACTGATTATATGACCACGCTTCATCTATGTAGCTTAGGCTGCTATAAGCTCTTGCAATTGGAAGGTTATACAGCGCCAATATTTCTTTCTAGAGTATCTAGTAGAGAAATTGCCAATCTAATGCCCTTCAAAAATATTTCATTTTAATTCCCATCAGTTCTACAAAAGGACTATGGAAGTTGCAGTCTAAATCATCTAGAGGGCATTACACTGTCTACACCTAATCTAAGATAAGCACATTTCTTTTTAAAGGCATTTCCAGACTGCATTGAATTCCCTGGAATTAAGCATGATTAAATACTAAAGGAAGAATATGTGTTAAGCTATTTATTATGGGTCGCAGTGACTTGGATCAAGAGAATAGAGCTGAAATACCTGAGACTTTTTGTGTGAATGGCCAATTTGGATCATTCAATAGTTATCACCCTGAGTTTTCTCAAAGGGTCAGTTTGAAGAGAATTGGAGATGGAGCTATCTACACAGGCCAAACTCCTTGAAGTCAGAGGTAGAGGATTCAAATATATCAAAAAGCAAAATTTCTGCAAACTTCTCACTCTTTCTGACTTCAAGCTCATGATGCGATCTGCTCTAAAAACCTCCATGTAATGTGTAAAATACAGGAAGGATGCTTATATAGGAAGAAAGAGGGAGGGAGGGAGACAGAGAGGAAAAGGGGGGGTGGAATTTAGCTGAAATGCTACTACCTGAAGTTCACTAGGATAGGAGTGAAATAACTTTTGTAGCCAGGATCATACTTTTATTATTTTATTAATGCTATCCTTGAGGAATGCAAGGCGATGATAATAATATGAAATTGTTACCAAAATGGACAAGATTGAAAGTAGCTTTTAGGAGGTAAAAGGATTAAGTAGCTTTTAGGAAGTAAAAGGAAAATAATCATCTTAACTCCATCAAATTATTTGTCTTGATCTTTTTCCTCCAAGGCTGAGCTGCTGAAAACTGTCTACAATCTTAGGCAGTTCTAGGGACTACAAAAATGACTCTTGGAGGTTATGTGTAGCCTATAAGCTTTGATTGTCCATCCTACAGTGTGGTTCAGACCCTTAATTTTTTGTAATACCTTTCTAAAGTAAAATGAAAACAATAGGCCTTAGAAAAGAGAAACCAACATACACAATAAACAGCAAGAATGTAGTCACAAGCAGTTAAACATGTATTGTGTTATATTACATTACAGCTGTGTAAACTCACTGATTACACAGCAGAATAATATGGCTATCCTTTCCAGAGAGACAATCAGTAACAAAAATTAGTCATTCTCACAAAAGAAATCACACTGATATCTGCTTCAAAGAAGTATTAGAACTGGTGATGCAACTTATTTCTTCAAATAATAGTAAGGCCATTTACATGGATTGATTAATCACAGTCACAATAGGCTTCTAATTTGTGTAAGCTCAGATTTATAAATGACAGAATCAGGGGTGAAATTCAGCAAATTGGAGAACCAGTAGCGGAAATTTTGAGTAGTTCAGACAACCAGCAAATACCACCTCTGGCTGGCCCCAGAGTGGGCTGGGAATGGAAATTTTACAATATCCTTCCCCCAGGCGTGGGGAGGGAATGGGGATTTTGCAGTATCCTTCCCCTGCCACACCCACCAAGCCACGCCCACCAAGCCACATGACGCCCACCAAGCCACGCCCACAGAACCAGTAGGAAAAATATTAGAATTCCACCACTGGATAGAATACTTTAGATATCAAGAAACATGTCAAAAGGACTAACCAGTTGATCGCCTACCCAGCCAATATTTCCTCATTTCAAACTAAGCATGCTGGAAACAATTTTCTGAAATGGGAAAGAGTTATGGTTTTTGCTGAATATATTGCTGAATATATTGCTGGCACTATTAATGGCAGAGTACAAAAAATGTGACATCTATCATCTCCTAAAGTCAATATTTGAAAATCCATTTTTCCCCATCTCACCTGATTCCCGAAACTGTTGGTTATGACTCTCCCAGATTTCCTGGATCTGGAGAAGGCTGTCTTCCATACTCTGGATGTCAGTCTCGGGACAATTGCACTGCGGGTAATTAAACCCACATTGGCACCAGCAGTCATTATCTCGGCACAGTAGCTCCCCCTCTGAATTGCAGGTGATATAACTTAGGGCAGCAACAACAAAGCGTTCTCGCAGGTACTCAGGTAATACTGCCTGAAGACCTACCAAAGGAATACAGAGTAGTCACAACCTTAGTACAGTGACATCCACATTGTGAATAAATAAGTATTTTGAAAATCAGACTGCTGCCCTCATAGTACTTTTCAGGAAAGTAAATATTTAAATATTGCTAATTAATTTTTCAAAATTTTAAAAGAAAAAAGAAAAAAAGAAAAGTGAAGAAAAAATGGTAAGTTCAGCTAATTGTTGACAAAGTGGTATTTCAAAGGTAACACTGATATTTGCAGAGGGTCATTTTTAGATAAAAAAATACTTCACATTAATTTTGTTTTGGAGAGCTAACTGGTTACTTAGAGATGTTCAATTCTTAAAATTATATACTGATCTTCTGGAAATTAATAGGTAGCCTGCAGATATGAATACAGTATATTTTTATGATAGCAAAAAAAAAATTATACTATAACATTGGAAGACTACCCATTCTCAATTAAGTATGCAGCAGCATGAAGAGGCTAGCTTTCTCTCTGCAGCTAAACAATCATTTTACTGCTATGAATTCCAATTAGGATTTATTTAGAAATCTAAACTGCATATATCAATTGATATGTTTATATGTTTAACTTTTCATCTGTCTCTCATTAAGTAAAATGTCTTCAGTGTTAATAACTTTATTGCATGAGACATGTATATGCACAAGTTTTATTTGACACATTGAAAATATCTGTTTTAGGTTATTCCTATTTTTTCTTCTTTTTGTTTCTTTTTTTGAACATAAAATAATAAACAAACAAACAAACAAATGGCCCAAGCAATGAAATTATTGCAGTGGGATTTGAAAACCTATCTTCCTGATAATTAAAATATTTCTAGAGGAAAACATACATAATATTTCCACATTCTTCCAATATTGATCCTCAAACTTAGAATGCATTACCATGAATAGATAGGCAGTACAACCAAAGCTATAATCACATCTTGATGAAAAACTGGACAGCTAAAGATAGATTGATAAGAAAAGCTTAAAACGCAACTTTTTGCTCACCACAGCTGAAACACAAATATGTTCAGAATAGTAAATGACTCTATGGCAGGGATCTAAATGCAGAATTGGTCTGAAGATCCATTGATTGGTCTGAATTGGTCTGATGCTCTGTTGATTGCTGAATGTGAATATAGAATGTACTGAATGTAGTGTTTTCTTTTGATAATTTCTGAATTATTTTGCATCAGAGAAGAAAGCTTCCTAAGATTATTTCCACACTAGAGCTACAGGATTCAACTTCCTACTGCAAAGTCTCCAGTGAAGCATACTGTAGTTAGTACTATACTGAATGCAATATTCTTTAAGGACAGTGGGCTTTATTTTTGAAACCAGTTTCTTCATAAACAGACCATAGATTAAGTCTTGCCCAGGAACCCTTCTCATAGGAAAAGCCTAAAGTTAGATCATTCCTTTGCAAATGAGCTCCACCATATGGACACAGGAGACATTTTTGCCTTTTACTATTCTTTTGAGTTGATTTCAGAAAACAATGCTGGTAAATCAAGTGAAAATAGGACTGGTAGAACAGGACTGAAACTGAAAATAGGATTGGTAAAACAGGTCAGTTAGATTTTCTACAATAATACATTTATTCTGACTTGGTCCATGTGGATGGTGTTATTTCCACCAATTGTAGGGAAAGAGAAAATAGTATTTGCTGCCTGCAAATTGAGGAAAAAACTGAAACATCTCAAAGCACTGGGAGGGAAGACATGTCTCAGTATAATTCCTTGTTCATTTAGCTGTGATTGGGTTCATCAGTTTGGCTTTCTTATTGACTTTGTCTTTTCTTCAGTGAAGAAAATTGCCTGGGAATTACCAGAACAAATTTTTCTCATAATCTGAGTATATATCTTTCTGGTCATGTCTATCCTCCTTCACTCAAAAACAAGATAAATTCATATCCAATAATAATATTGGATAAATTTGTATCCAATAATATGTGCTGGCAATTGGACACAGCATTCTAAATTATATTGGCAATATTGAGAATATCACTTAAGTAATGCACACATTTTCAAAGCACATTTTCTTCAGTTGTAGACCATGTATTTGCAATCAACAAATTTATAGCCATATCAAGATATTTTAAGCAGACACTATAAATAACACCTCTGATCAATTCACACTCTACCATTGCCATTAGTAATTATTAATATTGAATGGGTAATATTAGAATCTTTCAATTCCGCTGATTTGTGAACATCTCTGCAAGGGAGTATACACAATCTCCAGGACTGTGCACCTGAGCACTTAAATTTCAGTAATCCTAATTTATATCTGTAATATATACAAAAGCCAAAAGTTGTAATTGGGCAATATATTATTTATTTATTTGTTTGTTTGTTTGTTTGTTTGTTTGTTTATTTATTTATTGCTGTGCCTTTGAATCAGCTTTGGCTTCTGGCAACTGCTTAAACAAGTTAATTAGGACCAGCCAAAATGCCATTACACAATTTCTTCAACTGACCTTTTTGTCTAATTTTTTATAATTAATTTCTACTTTTGCTAATATAAGGGCAATTAAATTTCTTTTACTTCTGTTCTGTATTAATCCAGGACATGTGATTTTTCTTCAGAGCACAGTCTTTAGATTTTTTGAAATTAGGGAATAGGATGAGATGGGGAAGCTAAACTGTACTAATGATCTGTGATTTAGTCTTTAACCATTTTGAGTCTAAACTGCAACTTATGTCCATGATATCTAATCTAATGTAAAATTTATTTTACAGCCTAAAAAAATTCTAAGAACCTAAAATTTTACATTATTTTCTCTGATGGACTAGCATAGTTGTTCTTGTGTATGTATATTTGTTTGTGAATGTATTACATGCTAATGAAATATTATACAGTATATGTATATATGTGTATATACGCATATGTATATCTATATGTATATATATATACACACACACAGTTCTGACCCAGCTCTCCAAATACAACAAACCCTCTGAAGTTAACTCAAAGATTCCTTTATTAGCAGCCCCGGCAAAAAGTTTCTCTCTCAACACAGGCTAATAAGTCTGTCAGGCTGGAAGATGAATAGTTGTCTGCTACATCTATTCATATCCACCCTCTACCTTTTATCCCCAGAGCTAGGGTGTGGCTTCGCTAGCAGCGGTGGCTCTTCCTTCCCAAGGATCGGCCCATGGATTTCCACTGCTCTCCTCTTCTCTGTCTTTTGCGCATCTGCACGTCGGGCACTGGAGCCAGCTGTTCCACCTCCAGACCTGGGCGGTGTTGTCTCTCCATCTGAGGGCTGATGGATGGTCCAGGCTCCGCCTCTGTCTCTCTCTCTCTGCCAGCTCCATTCCCTCTTCCCCCTCAGAACTCTCAAATTGCCTTGATGCTGACCCTGACTGCCACATTTCCTCCTCTGATTCAGCTGCTGGAGGGGACGGTGGCTGACAGGCCACAACACACACACACACACACACATTTTGTGATTTTGTTCCAGATTTGTGATGCAGTTATATGCCTCAGCCAGATACCATAGTTGGTTGACTATCTGGTTAACTAGATAGTTGAGTCTCCTAGTTAATGAAGTGAAGCTTCAGTGAAATCTTCATTTCCCTTGAGAGGAGATTGGCTCTGTCCTTGTTGGCCATTCATAAGGCCTTAAGAACTTTGCTTTGTACTTGTGCCTGGGTGCCTGGGCATGGGTTAGAGGCTGATGTCTGGATGATAGATTAGATCCTGCCTGGCTGCTGTATGGGTTGTTGTTGTTTATTTGTTTATCTGTTTTGTATCATGTTTGTGTTTTGACTTGTTTTATTGTAAGCCACCTAGAGTCACATAAAAGTGAGATGGATGGCTACATAAATCAAGTAAATAAATAAATAACGGGTATGATAGAATGCATCAGGGAGGTTTCTGTGTGGAAATTATCTTGGGACAGTAAGAGTTATAATCATAGAAGCCATAATTTAAATTGCAATCAGTATTGGGAAAAGATGCTGGTACGGTACTGCATATCCCATTTTTAAGCACATTGCCACATACTTTCCTAAGAAAGAAAGCAAAGTTGTTTCAGACAGAAGAGCAATACTTTGCATTTTAGTATTCTTTGTAGCAGTATATTGCAATGACACACAAATATTACAAAGTGAGTGTCCAGTGACTAATGCAGATAAACAGAGCAGGTGAAAAGAGAAACACCCTTACCAAGTAGCTGAACCTTGTTTTCTGGGCTTTGCACAAGAACTGAACTCACAGAGTCAAGGTTGTCATAATTACTGCAGCCAAGAGGGCCCGTCCTGGTTTCAGTAACCTAAAGATGGGAAGCATATAGCTTTGATGTAAGTAAGTAAAACCTAAGTAAAACAAATAGAAGGTAACCCATTCTGATTCAAGGAATTACTTGGATTGTCAGGAGGTACTTTTGATTGATGAAAAAGCTGGCAATGGGAGGCAGAAAAATGGTGCAGCCTTTAGATTTCAGTGATTTAACCAAATGCTTCATGTGGCTGAAGGGCACCAGCCAAAGGATATGCTTATTAAAAGATTATGGGTAATGAAGTACAGCACACCTGGAGGACAGGTGTTGAGGGAACCTGCCTTATATGGTTTCATAAAGTTAGATGTGGACCACAGACTTGGTGCCATCATGCCATTGTCTCCTCTCCTGCCAAGATGGTGCCTTCAGGTATACACACACCCTCTGCTTAAGAAGAGTCAATTCAGATCGTATTTCTGAATTCCACCTTCTTCCCCTGGACTATGCTATGTGCAAATCAACAACTCATTGATTCTCCAGTGATTTCCCCCTGCTAACATATTTTGTCTACAAAAGCTTCATTCTTCATCCGATTTTGCTTAAATGGGCCTGCATTAATGTAGGCATAACTAGTAATTAACTAGATCAAGTTGTAACTGGATCTCGAGAGTCTCTTGTCTTATTTCAGTATGCATTCTCCCATTCATTACAGAAAATTCATAATTGCAAAAAAGTTAAAGAGACATTCCTTTCTAAATGAAGCCATTCCTTTCTGAAGAGCAAGATCTTGCCTCTTGCCTATTCTCACTGCCATCATGAAACAACATTCCCATTTCTTCCAATGTCATTCTTCTTTTCTACTTTTGAAAACATCCGTCTTTATCAACATCACTTGTAAAATTCCATATCCCATTGCAATAAGTTATGTATATTAAGTACATGAGTATAAAATTTACCAGATAACAGAATTTATTCCTAGTAGAAACTATGCATTATGAAGTAGTATAGGATTGACACTGGATATATCATAGGCAATACATAAAATATCACCACAATTAAAATATCAATAGCAGTGAGGGAGGGAGTCTCTGGATTTATTGTAGGCAATGCTCAGAGGAAGGGTAGGAGCTGGATATTTATTTTTTTCAAACTGCCATTTGCCTTTCAGAATTGCTCCAAAACTGGTTTTGTTGTGAACCCAGGAATGTATTTGAGAGTGAAGGAGAAATTATTTTTTTTAATGGATTGCAAAAAAAAAAGATTTACTATTCTGGACTGCTTTGGTCAGATTCAGATCTTACCCTAGCCCTAAACAAACACAACTAATATGAAACTACCACATATTTCAGGAATCACTCCAATTTTGACTTTAAGAGGTTAGTATCAGTGGTGAGTTGCCCCCGGTTCAGACCGGTTCTATAGAACCAGTAGTAAAACCGGCAGGAGGCTCCGCCCACTGACACTGACATCATCAGAAGCGATCTGCGCATGCGCAGAAGCTTCTGCACATGCGCAGAAAGTGCGTGCACAAGCGAAGCGAGCGAGCGTGCACAATCCCGTTACGAACCAGTAGTAAAGGTAAGTAGAACTCACCCCTGGTTAGTATCCTGAGGTACCTCCAGAAGAATCTCAAAATTAAAGCAAAATCAATAAGATTTATTTTAAAAATGTAAAATTGTCACAAAGTCACCATATTGTGAGACTTCGTACAAGAACATTCCAGAATTGACTGATTAATTTCAGTCAATTAATCTTTTTAAAAATGAAGAGATAGCTGAAAAAATAGCCATTCATTGGTGTAGAACAGGGGTGTCAAACTCAAGGCCCAGGGGCTGGATCCGGCCCGCAGGGTGCTGAGATCTGGCCCATGGGGCTGCCCTGGAAATAGCAAAGGACCTGCCCATTGTGCTTCTGCCAGTGAAAATGGAGCTTGGGAGGGCTGCATGTGCCCCCCCCCCCGAGCTCCGTTTTCGCTGGCAGAGGGTTGCAGGAGGCCATTGCAGCCGGAAACAGAGCTCAGGAACCTGTTTTCTCTGGCAAAGAACTTGGGCCACCACAGGCATCCCTGACACAAGTGATGTTGAGCTGGCCATGCCCACTCTGGCCACATCTACCCCAGCCCCCTGAGGTCAAACACAACCCTGATGTAGACCTCAATGAAATTGAGTTTGACACCCCTGGTATAGAATATTAAACTGAACCCCTCTAACTTAACTCCCTATCAACTGGTTCAGAAGAATATCATGACTGATAGCATCAAAACTAGTAAAAAGTCCTGATCATCTGATATGACTGCCTTTCATCAATCCCAATCATCCTGATTCAAAACAGTTTAGATAATAAGATATGATAATGAGATATACATGGAACTAGAAATCACTCTAAATTAGAGTAAGTGTGAAAATGAATGAAAGAGACATTTCTTTTGAAGCTGATATGGTGTAGAGTCATGTTGAAATATAATTAAAACAAAATAACATTTGAAGTTTTTCTACTGTTACTTTTTATATTTATTACAGTTCTCTGACTGGTTTTTATGGTGTTAATGCTGTTCATTTTGTTTTTATTTCTTATTTATTTTGTCAAATTTATTTGGGCACCATCTCAAAGTGATTCTGGGTGGCATACAACATATAAACCATCATGGCTGCTTATACAGAAAGGCAGTATAAAAATAAAGGTATATTAATAAAGACAGCATAAAAATACAACAGCGTATAGTACTTATACTCTAATTGGTCGAAATAATTTTAAATCTTTAAAAGTATCTTCAAATGTATATTGAGGTTACTCTCTATTAGGGCTATAAGTGGTATAATTTCAATATATTGCAATTTCTTTCCATAAAATAATTCCATACATTTTACACCCAGAAAAAATTCCAATATAAAATAAAGATTGCATCATGCTTTGGAGGCCATTAATGGTACACAGGAGAAAGGCAGATTCTATCCCTGGCAAGACTGAATCTGATTTTTCCTTCCTAACAAGAAAGTTGCACAAGAATATAAGCCCTTCCTGTACAACTTAGAATTGTTTTAGTGAGGCTTGTGCAGAAATACTTTCCGGTGGAATATTCCCCATGTTAACACTGCCAGAACAGGAAGGGAACATTTGCACAAATATATCCATCAACTCCAAAACTTAAAAGTGGCAGTAAAGAATGAGAAAACCCCCCACCACTTCATGCATATGAAATTAAATATAAAAGTACTTTGAAATAGCAAGGCTGGAAAATTGGTTGTATAAGCAAGAGTGAAGTACATCAAGTTTGTGACAGTGCAAGAGGCAGCACTGCTTCTAAAAAAAGAAAATAAATGTATAGTAATTGGCTTGTTGAGAGAGAAGATCCCCCACCTGTACTTCCTTCTCCAAAATTCAGCATAATTAGCAAACCCAATTTCCCATAAATAGCACACAATCAACAGTTAAGGCCTGACTCTTGTTTGCTATGCCTCCTGATTCTTTGGGAAGATGGAGGAATAGAAATAGATGGCTAACACAAAAGGTTTATAATTGTAGAAATCTCAGGGATGGGAGTTCTGATTAAGCAACCTGAAAATTATAGTCTAGGCACACAGAGAAGTTGATGGGGGGGGAAATAAATTGAGATGTGTTCTGTCAAATGCAGAAGAAAAAGTAAAGTAACTGGCATCCAACAGTTACAGTATACTTTGGGAGAAATTGCAGGGTTCCATTCAAAACTAAAACTGTCTCCTTCCTAGCACATTGGGTTGAAAAGGGGATTAGCTGGCAAGGCTGAAAAAATGGACCAGGCGTCTAACTCATCTTAAGTAGCTTTATATATATATATATAGTGATTGCTATAAGCTTATCTAATGAATGGAATTTGTCTGTTCTACCAAATCCAAATCCATTTCTTTGTCTATGGCTCAGACAAACAGCAACTTACACTACATACATGCATCCCTTGGACAGCCCCTTCATCTCTCTCCCCCTTATTTTACAGTAAAGATGCAACAGGAAAATGGCATTTTAGGTCTCTGTGTATTTGTGTTTTGACATTACTCTGTTCTGGAATTCTTGAGTATCCATTTGAGTTTAAATTCTTTTTATTTCTCGTGGTTACACCCACTTTCTATCATGCCTGAGGGCACCCAGTACCAGGAAAAACAAAACAAAACAAAAGGCTAAGTGTGGCTAAGTGTAAAAGGTTATTCATCTTTTTAATAGCTTCATCTGGTGCAAAGCTAGAGTTGTTTTTCTACAGGGCTCTTGCTTTTTTAACCATCATTCCCAATTTTGCAACTGCAGGGTCTCGGTTATTGTTCCGAGAAATGGTTTTTGCACAGAGCTCTTTCTCAAGGGCACTCTAAATAACCCTTACTTATGTGCCTCTAGATTTACCTTGATTGCAGCAGTTGCTATCTGGATATGGTGGAGACGTCTCAGGGTGCTTTCCCGATCAATGAAGTATGAGGCTGCCAACTGATGCAGTGTTTCCAAGGAAACGGTGGTGTTACTTCCACCACTCCCTGAGAGGCTACCAGCTTCTGCCTTCCGACTGAGCTTCCGTTTGTCCACAAAAATGGTCAAGGATTCTTCCCCTGTGAAGACATGAGGCTTTATGCTGAGTTGGTACAACACCAGGATTCAGAAGCATTGAGGTAATGGATAAATTTAGCCACAAAAGAGAATAATGAAAAAAAGAAAAAATACAACTTACAACAGTTCGACTTACAACAGTTCATTTAGGAACCTTCGAAGTTACAACATCATTTAAAAAAAGCAACCTATGACCATTTTTCACCCTTACGGCTGTTACAGACATCCCCATGGTCATGCGATCAAAATTCAGAGAGTTGGCAATTGACTAATCTTTATAAGAGTTGCAGTGTCGCAGGATTATATGATCAGCTTTTGAGACCTTTTGACAAGCAAAATCAATGGGTAAATCAGATTCACTTAACTACTGTGTTACTAACTGAACAATGGCAATAATTCACTTAACAACAAAATAGATTATAAAATGGGATAAAACTCACTTAACAAAGGTCTCAAAAATTTTGAGCTCAATTGTGGTCATAAGTCAAGGACTACTTGTATATAGCTTGTAGGACAGCTTTGGTCAAGATTAATTATTTACTACCATCACCATCATCTTCATCAGTCATAAGTCATCATTTAATAAGACTCATAGCACAATTTCTGGTAGGCATACTTCACACCCCATACTTAATCATCTTGAATTGGGACTTTAATGTGTTGAACCCAGCACATTGTTTGTAAAATAATCTAACCCAAGAATGGACAGAGAGCAAAGAACAAATGGAGACCAGGAAGGTGATATTGGGAGGGGCTGGTTGTTGTTTGGAGGAGATTGATCTACTTTTGATTGTTGTCTCTAGGATCAAATCCATAATTAGATAAGAATATCTTGGAATCTCCTGGCCATGATGTTGATTCTTGAGATTTGGCTTCCAAGTGTTACTAGATATTATTTTCTTCCACTTTAATTATTTATTTTTTCCCCTATCCAATGGCCCAGTCCCTACCATTAAACAAATCTGAACTTGCTTTATTTATCCATTGCACATTAATTCGTTCATTATTCATTCATTCAAAATCTGATTATTATAGTATGTTATGGTTAAGGCTGTCTTTGAAAACATCCTCCCTAAAACTTTGAAGTATTTACAGTGTGTAGTAGTTAAGCAGTGTGTGCTTTAGCCTAGCAATATTCCTATCTATAGGCGAGCAACAATGAAGATACCATAAGATCAGCTCATTTATCATTTCTGATTCCTTGCACTTGATACTATAAACTCAAAATATTATAGTCTTATCTTCTAGATTCTAGAATCTAGAAGATTATGGGAAATGCAAATTGAAACAACTTGTTTAGCATCATTGCCTTAATTACCCATTCACTTTCAGATTAAGTTTACCAGATTCACCCTCACTCTCTGCTCTGTTGGATCACCGGCCATTCGCTTACCACGCCCACTCCCAATCTATTGCTGCCTCCTGAGTCCCAGCTGATGGCTAGAAGAAAAAAAAACTGTTTAAATTCTTGCCACGGGGCTTCAAAGGGCCGCCCTATAGCCAGTGGTGGGATTCTGCTGGTTCTAGGGGGTTCGGCTGAACCGTTTCTTAAATTGCTGGCTCGCCCTGCCCCTCCGCACCACTATTTATTGCCAATAAATAGTGGTGGGGGAGGGGCGGGCGAGCCAGCAATTTAACAAATGGTTCAGTGTTTTTTTGTAATTTTATTGGCCCGCGGAGCTTCAGCATAGGCTAATTAGCCCTTGATTAGATCGGCTCCCGACTCTCAGCTGATTTGCTCTCAGCTGTTTTGCTCAGGGCTCTGCTGCTTGCTGGAGCAGATTTTTTTCCCCCTAGCTATGCTGAAAAACGAAACTGAAAGTAAAGCAGGCTGTTGGCTTTGCTGTTGCTGCAACGTTGGAAAATTAGGCAGGCAGATTTCTTTTCTTTTTCCTCACCAAAAAAGGTAGGTGCAAACAATGGGAAATTTACGGAAAAAGAGGAGAGTTCAAGATTTTAAAATACAAAAGAAAAAAAGCTCTATTTAACTAGGGAATTGTAATAATTGAGATACTATTAATTGTATATTGTGTTGAAAGCAGAAATGGTTAAGTTGTGGTTTGGAGGAATATATGGGGGAAATTATTTGGTTTATTATTATTGGTAAATATAATTAATTGATTTGTAAGAAATTGGATTGCATGGAAATAATTGGAATATTCATGTTCATATTGATTAATATACAAAAAAGGTAGTTATATAATTAATTGATTTATATTAAAATGTTGAATTTATATTAAACAACTGTAATATTACATAATTAACCAATGTGAGGATGGATATAAAAATAGATGACAATGGGAAGGGGTATAATATAGAATAGAAGGGAAAAATTGAATTTGATTAAGATTAGAGATGAAGAAGAAGGGTAATATTGGTTTTTTACAAAAATAGATGAGGAATAAATATGGCAAAAAGGAAATATAGAAATTGTAAATTTAATTGAAATGACTAAACACTGTTTAAATTTGTGAACCGGCCAAATACTCTGTTCAAAGTGTTGGAAGAAATCTCCTTCTAGGTTCTGCTCCAAGTGGGGAAAAAGACACTGGAAACATGGAGACTGCTTGGAAAGATGGTTTAATGGTGGACAGGATCACATGGCTTGAGTTCCTGAACAGAAAAGGGCAGATACAGTAAATCCTCGGGTTTTTATGCTCTCTCTGGCTCTGCATTTCTTGGGGCCCCGAAAGAGTATCCTGATTGGTTGTCAGATTCCCAGGGGGTGGGGGTCTTAGCTAGCCTTGCTGGCTGATGGTCACATGTGCTTCCCAGGTCACATGTGGTGAGTTTCTGCTGCTATTGTGTAGAGGGCTAATCCTATCTTTATTGGATCTTTGGCAATTCCTACTATGGCTCTGCCTGAAGGAGGTAGATCTTTGTTATGTAGAATAGACTGGCCCAGGCCTTAATGGCCCAATGACAAAGGGTGGGGGCAGGAAGATGGGAGCTGCTTCAAAACATGCTTATCCCAGGGAAATATAATATTCTGCCTTTTTCATATTTCCTAAAATATTTCACTCTTCCAGGAAAGGGGTGGGTGCTAACTTCCTACAAAAGAAAATACATTGTATGTTTGTATGTGTGTTTCTAATTATTGTTATTTATTCATATTTGTTCTCTTTTATTCTTTAAAGTTTAACAATTCATTCTTTATCTTAATATCTTCATATTTGTTTGGGGTTGGCTTTCTTCCCTTTCATCTTTTTTATTGTACAGCAATCTTTCTCCTCAAACCTACCATCTCTCTCTTTTCTTTCCATCTTACTTTCTCTTCCTCCCCCTCTTCTTCTCCTCCCTACTTCCTCTTCCTTTCTCCTTCTCCTCCTCTCTTCCTCCCTCTCTTACTCTCACTCCTACTCTAATTTCCCTTCCCTTCCTTCATCCCTCTCTATTGCTGTATCCTTTTATGCATATGGACTACTCAGAGGGCTGAAAAAGTAATTTCTGACTGGTCCTCGCACTTTTGACCAGTTCTCGAACTTACGACTGTCCTCACATTTTACGTTTTTGCCCTATCTTGTCACCATGGTGAAGAGAAGCAGTTGTGAAATGAGTGACATGGTTGTTAAGAATGCTACAATGGGCATAAATGATGACCAGTCATAAGTGCGAAGACCGGTCAAAAGTGCGAGGACCTGTCAGAAATCACTTTTTTCAGCCCTCTGGGTAGTCCTTTTGTGCACATGGACTACACAGAGGGCTGAAAAAGTTATTTTTGACTGGTCCTCGCACTTTTGACCAGATCTCGAATTTACGACTATCCTCACATTTTACGTTTTTTGCCCTATTTTATCACCATGGTGAAAAGAAGCAGTTGTGAAATGAGTGACATGGTTGTTAAGAATGCTGCACGGGCATAAATGTGAGGATGGTCGTAAGTGTGAGGACCAGTCAAAAGTGCAAGGACTTGTTAGAAATGACTTTTTTCAGCCCTCTGAGTAGTCCCTATACACATAGCCATGGCCACCCGGTCACATGACCAGCTAGCCCCGCCCACCCAGTCACATGACATCCAAGCCACACCCACAGAACCGGTAGTAAAAAAATTTAGAACCCACCCCTGGTTGGGGGTCACCACAACATGAGGAGCTGTATTAAAGGGTCGTGGCATTAGAAAGGTTGAGAACCACTATTCTAGAAGATTATGGGAAATGCAAATCGAAACAACTTGTTTAGCATCATTGCCTTAATTACCCATTCACTTTCAGATTAGGTTTACCAGATTGGGCTAGAAAAACTCAGATAATTTCTAGACAACAAATTGTTTTCACAATTTGAATGTCATCTAAACATCTAAAATGTTGTTGCCATCTAAAAATTGTCGAGATTTTTGTAGTCCAAATCTGATAGCCATATTTCAAATGCAATTTGATTTAAGGTTTTCCAAGCCTGGGAATTTCATATTTTAATGAATGTGTTTTCCTTAACAAGTCAAAGATCTAATAAAAGTAAAGGTTTTCCCTATCCAGTTGTGTCCAACTCTAGAGAGTGGTGCTCATCTCCATTTTTTAGCTGAAGGAGCCAGCATTGTCTAAAGATGTTTCCATAGTCATGTGGCCAGCATGACATCATGCTGCAGAGTAGGGTGTGTGGCAAAACACAGAACACTATTATTCTCCCACCAAAGTGGTACCTATTTATCTACTTGCATTTGCATGCTTTCAAACTGCTAGTTGGGCAGGAGCAGGGGCAAGAATGGGAGCTCACCACATTGCACGGGGCTTGGGTTTCAAACCCAGGCTGTCAGCTTTCCAGCTAACAAGCTCAGTTTCTTAACCGCTGAGCCATTGCACCTCCAAAAGATCTAACAGTCTATTCTACATTTGCAACAAATCCTAAAAATTGGGAGCCAACTCTGATTGTCCCCATAGTATAGGATTTCTTCTCTGAGGAAGTAAAACTTAAGAAAGGGATCTTTTTATTGTCTTTTCACATACATTTTAAATTGAGAAATTAACATTTTCGTGTTTGTTTAAATAACAGGTTTTAATTTATATAG